TATCAAAGACTTCAATGCTCATTCACTAATTTTACAAGCACGCAGTCCATACTTTAGAGTGGCTTTATCTGCCAATTGGGTTAGGAAAGAAGCCAACAAAATAATGTACAAGAAACCCAACATTTTACCTGAAATACTTGAAATTATCATGACGTAAGTAACATTTTTGTGAGATGACACCAATTTTCGCGAGAACATGTAATGATTACGATTGACATCACACGTATACTTGGATTAGATACATTTACACAGGCGTCGTTGCTATCGAGGATCAGGGAGCAGCGGCAGTATTTGACGTTCTACTGGCTGCAGACGAACTAATTCTTCCTGAAGTTCAAGACCATGCCGAAGAACATCTGATCGCGAACGAAAGTTTATGGTTACGGACAAACTTTTCTTATGTCCATAAAGCAGCATTCCGACATCAGGGTTTCCGCAAGTTACAAGAATATTATCTAAACATGATCTGCAAAAAACCAAGCATGCTCTTCGAGTCGGAAGATTTTTGTTCAACCGATAGTGACATACTCGTCATGCTATCGATGCGCGATGACTTGGATATGGAAGAAATTGAACTCTGGGATTATCTTGTCAAATGGGGTATGGCACAATGTTCTTCGCTCGCACCAGACCCAGCAGACTGGTCTGAAGAAGATTTTACAACGTTTGAATCAACCATGCATGGCTGCATCGAGCATGTACGCTTCTTCAATATACGATCACAAGATTTTTATTTAAAAGTAATGCCATTAAAGAAAATCGTACCTATAGACCTATATAAGGATTTGGAACGGTATCATTACAAGGTTACCACGCGTCCGAGGTCTCTCACAAAATCACCAAGACAAAAAACAATCAGATCAAACATAGTTGAACAAAAGTACATCAAAGAGATTACAAGCTGGATTAATGGTCGTGATCCCGGACAGACATCTGAAGAACCACCAACAGTGCAGTACGATTTCAGACTATTGGTTCGAGGGAGTCGAGATGGTTTCTCGTCTACCACCTTTCATGATAGATGTGATGATCAGGGAGCGACTTTACTTATTGTTAAAGTTCAAGGTTCCGGTCAGGTAATCGGAGGCTATAATCCCGTGTCGTGGGGTTCAGATAACACGTGGTCTTATACAAAAGACAGTTTCATTTTCTCTTTTATTTTCGGCGAAACTGGTTCGTCCGTACTAAGTCGGGTTAGAGTTAAGCAGGCTGAACATGCGGTTTATAATTCTGATATATTTGGACCTTGCTTTGGTAGAGGAGATTTGTGCATGGGTAAGAACTTCAGTGAAATATCTGGCTCGTATGCCAAAACGAATGATTATGAGAGAAAGATACTCTGGAGTATTCCAGGAATTGTGAATAATAACACCGATAGCAATACGAGGTTTAGCGTAGAAGACTATGAGGTCTTTCAAGTCGTAAAGAAAAAAAGTTCAAAGTAATTACTAATATATAGTGTATCATACTGTGGTTAGATTTGTATGTGTTCAGCCATTTAGACCAAACAATTTATTAACTTGCAACATATTATGTAATCAGTAAACGTTCATGAAGCATAAATACATTCTTTCGTGGTTTATAGAATTTTCCAACACTCATTCCACGATTTTCCTGCTGTGTGATTTTCAGCTCCCATTCTAGTACCTCCAGAGCGTACTCGCACTCATAACTTTGATGTCAACTCTTGACTTTCATTAAGCCACCATTTAACGCCCGCCTCTTTCTTTGTATAGTCCAATCCGAGACTCAAAGAATCATAAACTGCTTTCAGTAACAATTTCTTTTCGGATCCATCCGGTACCTGGCCAATGAACTCTTTGACGGTTGTGAGTAACGTCTGTTGAAATATCAGATTAACCGTCTTAATCTGGTCAATGAGTATCAATAAGATATGACTCCTGCCATGCAACGAAACAGACTGGGTCTCTTCAGTGTTTGCGTTGGGAGCTTTCTTGCTTTCTGCATCACTTTCAATAACCGCTTGAGAAGATGTAGTAACGGGTATTGATTGAATCTTTGCTACGAGTTTGCTGAGACAATACCACACAAGGGCATCATCTGCTTCTGAAAGTGAGCGCATCATAGTGCCGAACGTCAAGCGCCATTGGTGCGCAGATAATAAATCCGGATAGTTCTGTGCATGTTTATAAATGATTGTTAAATGTGAATCGTGTATTCGGAAAATACAAGCATTTGTCTACTCACGTCCAGTAACAGATCACAGTAAAATGGTGTGATTTCAATCATCATCGCCTTCTGATTCGCAAATATAGACATCATTACAGCATGAGCTGACTCGAACAAGTACAAGTCGGTCTTGTCCATGAGATATCTACGCGCTCATGTTAAGGAAAATTATGCACATATATGTCTTGTAAAAAAATTTTTTAAAATAGGATACAATTTCAGATAAATCAGCACTTCTCCTACAACATCATTGTCCAAGACTTTCATAAGCTGCTCGATCACTAAGAAATAGTAAGCCACTTTACTCTTTTGTGCGGGCGTAGTCCCATTACTTGGTTTGAGCTGTTGCATAATAAGATTACAAGCATCATCCGATTCCATTAGCTGGGATAATACGCCGAACCACACTATTTGATAGACTGAGAACCCATAAAGACCAAACTTGGATGTTATAAAGTAGACATTAGAGTATAGGAGGAGCATATGTTGATATTCTGGTACCCCATAAGCGAAAATTGGAAAATGAGAGCGGAATTGAGTATGCATATATGCAGTAGTAGTAAATTGAATATACTATTACGAATTCGTCAGATAATTACCAAGCAGTCCGCAAGCTTCACATCTTATCAGCGATTCATCAAAAATGGATTTACACACCATTGTAATCGAGAACAGAAATATCTTTAGGATGTACCATAATAGTTTTAATCCTTCGTTAATATCGTCATCTAAGTAGATGGTGCATAAGATCATTAAGCGTGCAAAAATTCTCTTTTCCCGAGCTGAAAACACAGTGTCATGGCTTACCTGCTGAATTTTCGTCCGAATTCTCACTTAGTGGACACTTTTCCCATTCCTCCCATAGACGTGCAGTAAAGTCATATAGCCTATGAAGAATATCTTATTCTACGTTGCCACCAGAAATTTCTTTTTCATCATAGTTATGATAACTAGCGGTTACCGTTACCTTTGAATTGTTGCCTTTATATCATCCTTGCTTAAATAAACGATTAAGCACGCAGCAATTTTCGATATATTCTTCATAGACTTGATCATGACACTTTGTTCAAGATCCCGCAGATGCTTGAAAGTATTTGTCGTGTTTGTTAGTATGATATTGTCATCACTGCGTAACGCGATAAAAATCAGCTTCAACCGGCTTCTACCTGCCAATCTTTATTAGCAGATGATTTCAGGTTACTTGTAGTCCTCATGATGAAATCAAGATTTTGAAAACATCTCTTGCTCGTAAGCATCACAGTTAACGTCGTTTGTAATAGTGTTTCCTATATAGTATGTAACAGACATCCATAAAACCGCGCATACGAATGCGTGCAATGAACCAGAAAATTCGAATTATAAACCTTTGATTTCAATTTAGCAAGTTGCTGATAAGGTATGCTTGGTATAATTTCGCTACACAAATAAACAAGAACGTCCTGCATTTCTTCTGATAACGCGTAGACAATAGGTTGTTAACGGGTATAAAGTAATTGAGCATTTCTCAATAGATCAAGCAAAAACACATATCCACCTTGTCCATTTGTCTTATTTATAGCATGATCTAAGCCTGTCAAAAAGAAGTTTTCAATCTCCTTGACCAACTTTCTGGGCACACCTTCTCTAGTTAATTCTTTGACTATATGACAAGCTCTCCTACAGTAATGAACAGCTTAATCCAACAAATTTTCTTTTTTTCTCTTGCAGGCCATGCTACTCGTATCTCGAACTTACAATACACCTGCAGTTACTACAATTCCGATAAGTCCATTGTTTGAAACAACATTTCTTATCCACTGTATTTTCTTTTTATGCTCATACTCTTTTCCGATTAATACAGAAGTAGTAACTTTGGTAAATATGTAAAATAGTTGTAGGGAAGGGTCAAATGAAAATGCAAAGGATTCAGCTTCAGATTGTATGAATTCTTCTATAACAAATAAAAGACTAGCTAAACTGGAGGAAGGTTTAAGAAGTAGTCTCGCTACGCTTGCATATGGACCAGAAAAAACTTGTTGAGTTATATTATTTACGTTGTTGCTACCACCGTTCATTTTCTTGTGGTATAGGGAAGAAAAAAGTGGGAAGATATTAAATTGTTATTGATAATCGGTACCAAATTAGGAAACGGTTTGAAGTCACAGGGCCACAAATTCTTATCTCAAAAAGCACATCGTCAAGGCACGCAGTAAATAGGTTGTTAAATTAACAATTCTTGGATTTATTTCAATAACTTATCCAGAAGATGTCATCAAGTGTACCCAAAATCCTCTATCTAATGACAAGTCTAACATAAGGAACCTAACAAATTGAGATAAACATGTATTAAAATAAGCGCAACCGTGCTCAATTGTGCATCGTACAAAGATCAAAGACCCTTACCTCGACGTCTTCTCCGTCGCGATCGTTTACGCACATTTCTAACGTTATGGCATGAACATGTGGGGGAATTCGTTTCTTTGTTATAAGCTCAATCAATTGTGATATTCTAGTGGAACGAAACTTCAAGTTAGAGTGACTCTGGTGCATAAAACCCTGTCCATTACGAGTACTGAAATTCAACGCTCACCTCATATTCCTGCGTTCGTCCAACTTCTTTTTTGGCATAAAGAAGGAATACAACATGCTGACGTCTGCCGACAACATTGTGATTTCTAATTCATGTTTATTTTTAAAGTGATCCAAAAACTCTTGGAGCGTAAAATCACCCTCAATATCGAATCGATCCCACAAACTCCATTCAGTCTCGTGATACTATAAACAAAAGATTAGTATTACTCTTCATAATTGTTTGAAACGCAGACAATTCCTTGTTAATTACCTTGGCCACTTTCATAGCAACCGGCTCCGAAAATCCAATGAACGGCAATGCGAGATTCACGAATCCATTCTTATAATCTTCTAACTTGTTTTTTCCCGCAATTATTTTGTACAATTCCAAACATACCAGACCGGCAACTAATGACGTCGTAGTTGCAATAGCTGGTATAATTTTTCCAGCGATAAATTTGGTCTTGTAACTGTCTGCTGGTGTGATGCCATAATTCAACGCACGCAAATTGGATGCAGCAGTAATAAAGGCGATGTGGAAATTCGTATCATCGTCTTTTTCAAACTCGACCGGGGTCATGCGAAAGCCGTTGAC